GCCTCCCGTGAGGGCCTCTGCGGGGAGGCCTCTGCTCCCACGGGTAGGGCAGCAGAGGAACTCACCCCCGGAATAGGAGCGGCACTGCACCGTCAGAGTCTCGGTTCCTCCCGCCTTCCCCTGCTCACCCACACTCTCCCTTCTGTGCTTAACCACTTCAGTAACTCCCAGAATGGAAAAAACTGCCCAAGTTACTGCTTATCCGGAGACATAAAGGTAGAGTGAAGCAAAAGAAGGTTGCTCCTTAATAATCTCTCCCAAGGGAGAAATCTCAGCACTGACGTGCATTCTCAGGTGGGGTAGGTGGGTTTCCTAGTTCACTTTGGCTACAGACAGATGTGCTGACAATGCAAACCGGATGTTGAATTTACCACAGTAGACAATCAAATATACCTCAACTGTGTTAACTTCATCAAAATATAAGGAGAGGATGGAATTACCCTGTACTTGCTTTAAAGAGGGCTTTGAGTTTCTATGAGGGCGGGGGATTTAGCTCAGTGCTGCTGCCACCTGCCTTGTATGCACAAGGTCCCGGGTTCGAACCCCCCAAAAGTATTCTGTGAAAGTCACTATCGTCTTATTTTTCCCCATTGCCTAACATATGTTGAATGTTACATCCTCATGTACTAGGCACCATGGCAAGCATTGTTGTATAAATTAATATTTTATGTAATTTAAAAGAAAACTACAAGATAGAGATTATTAATGGGACCATCCTTCAGGAGCAGAAGCAGTGCTTTTTATGCAGACTATGTGTCCACTCCTGGAAGACCACCAGGAGGTAGCCAGACCCACTGTCCCCTCAGAAGATGGCGATAGCTTGTGTCCTGAGACTTTATGCCAGAATGCGCCACTTCTCTTCCAAACCCTCCAATTTTCAAAATAATCTCAAAAATTTGCGACAAAAATTCAGTTATTAAAAGTAATCTCAGGGATTAAAATGTTCCCTAAATTTCAATACCTAGAATTCTAGTTTTATGATAAAAATTTAAACCACACCACTCCACTTGACAAAACTCCTTTCTTCTGTTTATTAATGCAAACAACAATGGAGGCAGCTACCACACTTCTTTCCTGAAGACAGGTATAATTTCTCACAGCAATATTATAATGCAGCAGGATATTTATTGCCATTGGGTGGCATGGACACTGAGAGGACAAAGTCTAAAGCCAGACCCTTGTTGGCTGTGTGACTTGAAGCATGTTACTTCACCTCTCATACTTAGCTTCCTCTCTAATACAGTAATAATTACAGGGTCTGTCTCGGAGTTGCTGTGGTCGATGCATATGAATAGTTTACATGTAAAGCACTTAGAACCTTGGCTGCACTCAACAAGCACTGTGTAACTGCTGGCTCTTAGGACTTCCACTGTGAATCAGAGTTGTTTATTGTTGTAAATGCTCTGTTTTAGGTGGCCAAGGATGTATCTGTGAGACTTCACCATGAACTGGAAAACGTGGAGGAAAAGAGAACAACAACAGAAGATGAAAATGAGAAACTGAGGCAACAGCTTATAGAAGTTGAAATTGCAAAGCAAGCCCTACAGAATGAACTGGAAAAAATGAAAGAGGTCAGTATTTGATTGTGTTATGATGTACTTCATGGTTTTAGTTCTTTAGAAAAGAATTCCAGGGAATATGACTGCTAAAATAATTCATTTTATTTTATGATTGTAAGACAGTTCTGGGTCTTACCTCACTTAGTAACAAATACAGTGGACCCTTGACTTACAAACTCACTCGGTTCCCGAAGGCTGGTTGTAACTCAAGTTGATTGTAAGGCAATACAGCTGAGATCTGGATGTTTACCTGGGTACATGCTATAGAGCAGAAGAAGCAGCAGATGAATCTCCCATTAACCCAAGTTGTTCGTATGTCAGGCCGGTGGTAACTTGAGGGTCCACTGAATATCATTTAATACTAACAAATGGGTGGCAAAATTTTAACTTGAGTCTTGCCTCTAGTTTAATGGACCATGACTGATGTTCTGTGTTTGGTTTATCTAAAAGTATGTGGGCTAAGTAAACTACACAGCATACCAAATACAAAAGCTGTCAAGAGTATAAAGGAAAGTGGTAGCAAGGGTAGAGATTTATAGGATTACCCATCAGATCACAGAACTGTGGGCTTCTAGAATGGACAAGGTGTGAAGGCCCCTGGTCTGCCTGATCATTGCCTGCAGTTTCTCTGTAACCAAGTCCCCGGGATAACCCCTGCCTAGAAAGTCACTAGTGACTAACTGCAGATCTCCCAATTCTGTCACACCCCAACTCTCTTTAAAGACTTTGTTTTGAGTTGAAATCTATTTAGTTGTAACTTAAACCAATGTGTCTTAGTCCTGTCCTTTCAGGTAGAGCCAAGTTCTTTTCTTCTTCTGCAAACTATTTGAAGATTCCTACTTTATTCACCTTGAGCCTTCTCAAAGAGTAAACTAAAGATCACAGAAAATATTTAGAGAAGAAAAGAATTGGAAAAGATCTAATATGAATTGATAGTAACTATTAATTGAACTTAGATTAAAGTAAGTAGTTTTCTTTAAAAACTACTTGAGTATGCACAGTACAATTTATAAAAACTGTTGTTGAGAATAGACAAACACACGCATGGCCTTCTGAACAATTTCCTCTGCTTAGATGTGCAAAACTCTAAGGAAAATTCTTACCTTTCTGTGGGCTGAGATGTTAAGCCACTGTAATTTCTGTGCTTACTTTAGAAGGCTACAGAATGTCTACCATGTAGCAGTGGCTATTTCTGCAGTCTGATCAAGAATATGTAACTGTAAGGTCTTTGTAGAATATAGTTTCAGTGAACTGTTCTGTGACCTTAGTGTCTCTTTATATCATCCTGACTTTGAATACCTTTTTATAGGGAAAATCGTTTTAGCAATACATGATTCCTGACTGCTAGCTAAGGTTGGCTTTGAGTTACAGTAGGAAAATGGGGAGTCTGAGAACTCTGTGACCATCTTCACCAGTAACTGGGTGACCTCAAAAGCCTTCTAACTTCTGTTTTTCTCTGCTTATTTGGTTGGAAATTGTAAAGCCTGTTTCAAATGTTTCTCAACCTGTCCAGCTACTATGCACTTTTGTGATGAAATCTAAGACATCACCATTTAAAGAGCAGTATATTTTTTTTAATTAAAAGAAATCCAGCCAGGGATTTAGCTCAGTGGTTCCACCGCCTGCATTGCAAGCACAAGGACCCAAGTTCGATCCCTGGTTTAAAAAAAAAAAATCCAATATGAAATGGATATAGATAAGCATCTGTTATCTTCAACAATAATATACAGTTTGAAGATTATGAAAAAATTGTATGTTTTGTTTCTGGGAGGAAAAACATGAAGAGTAGGTAAGCGGTATTAGTTACCTTGTGCTGGTTTAACAGAACAGCAAAGATTCAGGTGCTTAAGCAGTGGATAATTTTCTCATTGTTTTGGAGGCTATGTGTCCAAAACCAAGATTTCAGCGGATGATTTCTTCTGCTGCTTTGAGAGGAGGGTCTGTCCCAGGCCTCTCCTTGGCTTGGAGTTGGCATTCTCTGTGTTCATGTGGCAATTCCAGTAGGAGCTGTCTGCTTCCAATTTTTGCTTCTTGTAAGATCACCAGTCACATCAGATGAGGCCCACATTGATGGCTTCGCTGTAACATGATTACCTCTCCAAAGAACCAGTCTCCAACTAAGGTCTCATTCTGAAATATTGGAATTTGGGACACCAACAGGAATTTGGTGAGTGAGATGGGAAGGGAATATATCATTCGACTCACAGAAGTAGCCATTGAACAATTAATTTCCTGTTTTCACTTCATTTGTTTATTAGTAAATGTTTGTGATACATGATAATTATATTCATCATGGGGGTATTGCTACATGCACATATTGCATATTAATCATTTTTACTTCCCTGTCCTTCCTGCAATTTAGTGTCATGTAGATATTTTTCAAGTGGCTATCTGGAAAGTCGTATTTAAGAATGGCATAAGAGTTTCTGATTTTCAGACTGTGTCTTGGAAAGCAGAAAATGTTCAGATCGACTGTCCCTTAGTAAGAGAGATCAGACCACTCCCATCTCAAAATAAAAGCCAAAATACTACATCTACCAGGAGGAAAGGGCAGTCTCCAGGAGAATCACTGTAAAGATGCATTTCCTTGATTCTGTTCCCCGCACACTTCCGTGTGAGCCTTTAGGATTTCTAGCTCGGGGTTGGGAAAATGCTGTTTCAACACCAAGCCACATGTGTTCAAGCCAAAGAGGCACGTCACGTTCTCTCGGAGTTTCCATAGCTGAACTCCAGTGCCTGATTAGAGAACATAAGCACAAACACATAGGGCAGTTAGGAACATGAATGCCGTACATCAACTTTTATAGTAGTTTTCTATTTTTAAAAAGTAGCAATAGAAAGTAAGTGTAGGGCTGGGGATTTAGTTCAGTGGCACCATGCCTGTTTCACAAGCGCAACGTCCTGAATTTGATCCCCGGTACCAAAAAAAGAAAAGAAAAGAAATGGAGGTGTGGATGAAGTTAGCAAGGGTGAGAGAGCGTGGAATATAAAGATCTCAAGAATACTAAATGTAAACAAGAAAAATAAACAAAATTCTGACATCCATTCAATGTTGACTTTCATAGTGTTTAGGAAATCATCAGAAGTATGAAAGGTAGGTAAACATGTACAGAAACCAGAATATTTCATTCAAATAAGATTTTTTTAAATGATAAATTTGTTTACTCCTTAAAAAATAAATATTAAAACTTAGTATAGTGGTAACTGGCTTATTTTGAGGAGTAGACATTATTAACTGTGTGCTTCCTTGGTTGTAAAATTAAAACATTGAAATCCTTCTTGAGTATGAACTACATGGGATGCAACCCTTTTTGTCATTCTACCAGTAGAGAAAAATAGAAAAAGCTAAGTTCTCCATTATGAAGAAAAGACATTGATTAGAGAGTAAACCATAAAATGTTAAATAGAATATACTGAAGAGAAACAGTCTTCTGATTCTAAGATTTTAGTTCCTTGCACAGAGTCATATAGCTGTTGAACAGCCCCGCTGGGGCCAATAGACCGTCTGCTAGAGCTTAGAGCTGTTTACTACGGCTTTAACTAGCTTCCAGGGTATTGACCAGTTGCTCTCAGGGCTGGTGGCTGCATAAAGTTCTGTGCACCTGCTCACATCCACCCTGCTCATCTTCTCCTCCTGGAGGGTGGAGTAGGCACCCGGGAGCAGGGGAACTGAATTGAGGCAGGATGCAGGTAATTACTTTCAGCTTCTGCAATCGGTTCCTTGTACTGAAACAGCCGATATTCTGCCAGCTGCAAACAAGAGAGACCTCCTTGGATGCCACCTTCAAATTTTAATAGCATTCTCATAGCAGTTATAAAGCACTGGTTGCTACTAGCAGTACAATTTCCTGATGCAGAGAAATGCCTGTACCATCAGTAACCTGGGGGGAAATGTTAGTCTGTCTTTCAGCAGTACAAATGATTAGTGAGATAGAGGTTTCTGTACAAGCTGTTTCATGGAAACAGCAGATAGCTCTTTGAGTGCCAGGATGGACTTATATACAACTGTGATGGAGTGAGATGTGAAGGAGGCTCTGTAGAATACATTTTCTGGGTTGAGTGAACTAAGTTGAGGGTCACTGCCCTTCTCAATTCTGCGGGTAGAGGAGGGAATTTTATTTCCGAAGTTTGCAAACCCCCTGGGTTCTTCAGGAAGGTTGGGTCCTCTCCCGTCACTCTCAAAGTCTGGTGCGTGTAGAGGAATTGATGGCAGACACTTGGGAAAACAAGTCACCAGCAGAGGACTAAAGGGAAGAGCAAAGGAGATGCAGAGAAGTGTGTACCACACTCCCCGCTTCAGAGTCTGTATCCTTTGTTTGGTCTCCTCCCTCACCTGTGCATAAGAGTACTCAGGGAAAATGGTTTGCTTCCCTTCTTCCCGTCTTGGCTCTCTAGAGGGCTCTTAACTGACTCCGGCAGAAGCATCATTTATCTTGGGGCTTTAATTTTCTGTGCCCTTGGTTAATGCAGGCTATCTATCACAATGAACTTTCCTTCTAGAACACAAAAGTGATCCGCATTATAAATCTGAACAATAGTGTCTGTATTTTTAATATACCGAAACTGTTTCATGATTTTCTTTACAGACAGAATATTAGACAAATTCTTGCCTTTCATGTTTACAATTACCTATTTATTTTCTTATATAAAGTCAAGATCTGATCATAACTACACTTGATTTTGATAGGCCATGTTTAAATTATTAAGTACAGAGAAATGCTGAGTGATAAATCTGTGAAAAAAAGTAGTTTGAGTGGGGAATTCTTTGGTGTGCGATATTTACTCCTGGTTCTTTTGGTTTATTAAAATTTGAAAATGGAACAGTAGTCATTGCCATTTTAAAATTAAAGGACCATTTTTAAATGTATCGATTAAACACTGTTACTTTGGTCATATCATTTAGAGTCAGCGGTTTGTTTAATGATGGAGGCAGCAACAATAAGGTCTAAATGAAAAAGGAAGAGCGTGCCAAGGATGCATTGGAAAGCTTGTCTTTTAAGAACTTACCATGT